CCTGAAGAAATTACTGAGGTTCAGCAAAGAAGCCTGTCAAATAAGCCTTCAGATCGTCATCACTCAAAAAGAAATGGATGAAAATAGAGTTCAGAAACGGCTGCATAGTCAGTCTCAGACTGGAAATAATGAGATTCTCCAGTTTCTAATTGAAAGTCTAAACTCGGAGCCATCTCGAGAAAGGATGACGAGGTGAGGATCAAAAACTTGATTCAAGCGAAAAACACCTTTTCAAAGTCTAGAAAGCGAACGATTAAGTATTTCTCAGTGCTGGGCATACCACATACTGCCCCTTTGGGTACGTACACTCCTTATCCCAGAGACGGAGTAGGCGTGGCATTTGAACATGGCATAAAATGGGTTACTCGTGGGATGCTTCAATTCGATGTCATCTTGTTCAGTATTCGATAAAGATACGATCTCGAGTTCCTCAACGTGAAAACATCTCTTCCAGAAGCACAGTCATCGCCGCGTTGAGTTGAAGTACGCAGCCACGCCTACCTCATCCCAAGAACTTCAAGTGTACCAAACTCAGCACTTTTTTACCAGTTACTGCTTTTACGATAATTAGGATTTGGACGAGCTAGAAATCAAGACCGTTCTCCATCAAATACTGCCTATTCCGAGGAATATACTGTTCGTTGGAGGCAGGTGCATGCTGGGTCCAGGAGCTACAACACATCATGCTTCTTTGGAATTCACAACAATGGTAGGGGATCATTGGCAGAAGTTGGTGGTGTTAAGGTGGGGTAAATATTTGCAGCACTACGTTGATGTGCACTGTGAGTAGCGGATCTCAGGTGGCCACTAAGTGCAAGTCGGCGCCAAGCGTATCCTTCATTACCCGCCTTGAGCGCAGCGCCTGCTCCCACAGGGATTGCCAGTTCTAATATAGCAAGGAATTTGGATGATTGCCAGGAAATCGAGGCAGCCGCTTCTGGGGCGGTTTTCTCAAGGTGTCGCACATACAGTTGATATCGTTGCCGAAAGTAGGGGCTGCGTGAAGAGGCATGGAATTAGTCAAACAATGGCGTTCTTTTGGTTCTTTTCTTGCACGATCAACCACCACTAACCGGTCACTACTGGTAGAAACCGCAGTCGGGGCCGGACTCGCTCCGCCTCTCCTACACTGCCCCGTCTAATTGCGACACTTTCAACTACATACTGTTCCGTGGAGAACGTACGGGTAAAGGGGTTCTGGATGAAAGGTGATGACGAGCTAAGAATAGTTCCCTCTACGCTGTCTACGCATGGTGAGTAAGTTGTAAAAGTTAATTAACGGAGCGATCCTCGCCACAAGTTGTCTTAGGCAGCCAATCGTTCACGCTCCGAAGGTTCTGCTAATCGGATCTTGGCCTTGTTGAGAAAGAAAATATAGAAGTCAACGACTGATTCCACGAGGGACCGCGCGGGTCAACAGGAGAAGGAGCCTTCCTGAGAATTTAGTGATCCGGAAGGAAATTGACTTGTATTTCACATTTCATGCCAAATTGGTTGTCTTGGGGACTGTTTTTTAGAAGTAGGAGGAAAGCTCACTGGCAACTGGATCAGCTGCTTCGCAATGTTTTACACCTTCTGGCACTGGGAAACGTGGATCACCACATTTGCACTCCTTGAGAACAAGCTGTTGGAAGCATGATCGATAGCAACCCTGAAATTATCGAAGAGCCAGAAATGCTTCCAAATGATAGCTAAAAGTCCCGGGGAATAACCTCGACCGAGTACTCGTAGTTCTTGTAGATATAGTCAGGAGTCTTTCCATCTGGAACACAATCTCCATACGGCGCCGGAAGACGTGTCATTTTACGCTGAATGTAGAACAAATTGAGATTTTCTAGAACTAATGTGAGAAAGGACTCAATTTAGCAACTAATACGGGAAACAGAAGGGAAATCGCGAAATGAGGACATCTTAGTGGGGGAAGATATTTTTAGGAAACAGATTTTCCTGGACTTGCGCCACGTATCCACCATTTGTTGGAAATCGCAAATGCCGTTGAGTTCAGCTTGGCCAATGAGCGCAAAGCCTGATGTTAGGCACAACTTTGCTGGATACGCTCCCTTCTGTCCACGTTTTCTTCTCCGGTATAACCCGTTGAACAAACAACCGTTTATCCCGGCTAACATTCCCAGAAACCCCACAAATCCTATCCGCAGCCTCAACGTGGCGTGGTTTGAACGGTCCGAAACCGTACTAATGCGGTAGGCGTGCCACGTCAGAGCGGCGAGCTTACGGTGTGGTTAAATGTCTTTCATGACCGAAAACAGTCAAATTATTGAAGCCGGTCGTTCCCTGAACCTGAGGGAACCACCGACAGGGCGACGTCGGCTGGGACCGCTCGGGCGAGGCTGCAAGAATCACAGGGCCAACGGAGATTTAAGTCGCCCAGGACTAGGATGACGATCTGTACTTTCAACGCACGGACGCTTGCATCGGAAGCTCACATCGAAGATCTGATGTTGCAAGCCAGGAAGATCAAGTACGACGTCGACGTCGTCGGACTGACCGAGACGAGGAGGCATCGCCCGCTACACGCCGTATACGAGACTGGAGAAGAACTGTTCCTCGGAACATGCGACAGCAGAGGCGTTGGCGGTGTGGGCGTCCTCGTCAACACGCACTTGGCCATGAACATCGATTCGTACGAAAGTCTGACGACCCGAATCGGACCGTTTCGCATTGAAAAGATGTGGTTTCAACTCCAGCTTTGACAATCTTCGTCGCCTACGCACCAACATCAAGCTACGACGAGGATGAGCTCGAAGCGTTCTATATGGAATTGGAGAAGTTCTACAAGGAAGATCACACCTTCTTCAAGGTCATCGTCGGTGATTTCAACGCTAAGATCGGACCAAGAAGAACGGCTGAAGAACTTCACATCGGAACTCACGGAATGGAGTGGAATGAGCAGGGTGAAAGGCTGTCTGAGTTTATCATGTCGACCCATACCATCCATGGTAACTCGCAGTTCCAGAAGCCCTACTCTCTACGCTGGACATGGGTTCCTGGTGGACAATTCCATAATGAGATCGACCACATCATCTTCAATCGAAGGTTTCGCCTGACCGATGTCGCTGTTGTTCCCAAGTTCTACACAGATTCCGACCACCGCCTGCTTCGCGTAAGATTCGCTTTCGATGCGAGGAGAAGAGCCGCCAAAGGCAAGAAGCGAAGCCCCAGGACCTCGATCAATTGGGATCACTTCAACTCTCATCGGCTGGCTCTGAGAAATGTCCGTCATCCGACCAACATCGACGAGGAATGGCGGAATGGAAGTCAGAGACTTCCAAAGATTACCAAGAAACTGCTTATCTCCTGGAAACTCCTCGAGCCTGAATTCGCCAACGTGGAGCCGCACGAGCCGCAGGCAATTACCAGCTGACGTCTGAGCTTGCGAAGCTATGCAGAGAAGCGATAAAGGAAGACCTCAAGGAGAGAAGAGCAGCAGTATTGGTGGAAGCCGCAGAGGCTGGGAAGAGCATACGCAACGCCCGCCGCGACTTCGCCAACTGTAAGAAACAAAATGACCGGGCCTCCACGCGCGACGGACAATCACCGATCCAGTCAAGGGCCACATGGAGAGGTCATCGCGGCTGCATACCTCTGATTTCTCTTTGACAGCTACGTCCACCTGCCATACCGCTTGGAGCAGGACGGACACGTCGTTCCTGCAGTTCTCCCTTCCGAAAGTCCGACACGCCATCTCGTCGGTGAAGAACGGACACGGCCACCACCGCCAACCACCGGCACCCGACAGGACTCAAACCGAACATCTGAAGAATTCTTCCGGCCAGTGTCTTTGGTGCAAAACTCTGAGCTCGCACTTTCACGCGCTACCTGTCGGAATGCAAGGTACCCACCTCGTGGAAAACCAGCAAGACTGTGTTGCTGTACAAGAAGGGAGACCTGTACGACATTGGCAATTATCGCCCAATCTGCCTGCTGTCTGTAGTCTACAAACTCTTCACACGAGTCATCCTGAACAGGATTGGCAGAACACTAGACGAAGGACAGCCATGCGAGCAAGCAGGGTTTCGAAGAGGATTCAGCACGATTGATCACATCCACACGGTAACGAAGCTCATTGAAGTATCGCGAGAGTACAAGATGCCGTTATGTCTCACGTTTATCGACTTGAAGAAAGCCTTCGACTCCGTTGAGACAGAAGCGGTTATCGAAGCCCTGGGCAACCAGGGTATTCCTACTCAGTACATCAGGATTCTTCGTGAGCTCTACAGCAACTTCACGACCAAGATTTCACCATTCTACAAGGAGATCATCATCGACGTGAAGAGAGGGGTCCGGCAGGGCGACAACATTTCGCCCAAGCTCTTCAGCGCCTCTCTCGAGAACGTCAACTGGAATGGGAAGACATGGGAGTGAAGATCGACGGTCGGCAACTACACCATCTCCGCTTTGCTGACGACATCGTTTTGATAACGCCAAACATCGAGCAAGCGGAACGAATGCTGGCTGAATTCGACTGCGCGTGTGGAAAAATCGGTCTACGGCTGAACCTAACGAAGACGATGTTCATGAGAAACGGATTGGTTTCTGATGGCCCCATCACGCTCAAAGAAACGAGGTCCTGAATGCTCTAGATATGTGTACCTCGCAGGGCACAGCATTCGATGGGGATTTTGGTCGAGCTTTTACGACCCCCCCCTTTTTTTCAGGGGCTGGTACGACCCCCCCCCCATGCTCGTACGATGGCTGACATGGCTGACTGTGGTTGTGGTTTATACTCGGCGAAAAAGTTGTCGCAGCGGGGGGCGGGGGGGAAGCGAGCGGGACTTAGCGAGCCTTCAAGAACCATCGCAGGGCCCAGCTTAGCGAAGAAGATGAGAACCAAACTCCGTGCCACCTCTTCGATTCTACGTGCGTTTCCTGCCTTGCACTTCATTTGCCTCAAGAGACTTTTCCGGAGCCTCACGAAAGCACGGGCTATGAGATGCGGTTTGTGGCGTTATTCAACGCGCCATCGAAAGGGCGATGCTCGGAGTTCCCCGCTACACGCAAGTGAGAGAGGGAATCCGGAGCTCCGCACTCCGCCAACGATTGAAGATTAGAGGCACAGCCGCATTTGCCAAGGTTTTGAAGATCAGGTGGGCCGGGTACGTCATGCGTTTCGAGGACGACCAATGGACCAAAGCGATACCGACTGTTCAGATATATCCACAGGATAGTCAAGCGCCAGCATCTGGACGACGCCATGCGATGGCATGACTTCTTCGGAATAGCTCTAACAATGCGTATGAGTTCTCGTGTCCTACGCGACATCCGTGGACAACTCTGTGTACGTTGCAGGGACGAATGGAGACACTCTGGCGCCCGCTCGAGAACTCGATTATCAACGGGAGCACAGGTGATACAGGTGAACTTCCTCAGAAATACGCCGTAGAGCAGGGAAGTAGAGAAGGTTAGAGTATACACCTTATCTGCTCAATAACCGCAAACAATAGTTACTGCACAGCCCACTAAAGAGGATAGCACGCGTGATACGGGAAAATTTACGAATCCGAAAAAATTTTCCTCGGCGGAATATGGCCCCTCCTCCCATCCAGCTACCAAATACGTATGCGTTTCCATTGGATTTGGTAGCTAATTGTAATTTCGTAAGTGAGTCCCCACCAGATATCCAACCTTATGATGTGTTCTGTGGCCGATTCCAAGGCTGACGAGAATGAAACGAGTCAGGAGATTCGATGGCGCGGCGAAAGAGATTTTGCAGGTGGCTTTCTCGCCCGGACCTAACTGACGTGAAAGCGCTAAGTTAGCGGATTCTGTTAGCTAGGAAAGATTCTCCTTCTTCGAGCTCCCTCCAGCGAGGATCTCCTGATCCGCACCCACAAGGATCAGCTGCTATTTGAAGCAGCCATCTTACCCGCTGGTGTTCGATTCCCGCCCAAATCAACTGAACCCTCCACCTCTCCGGGACCAGCTACTCTTCATGAGACTCGTCTAAAAGTGCTGAAACACTGAATGAGAATTCGGTCAACCCTTCGAGGTCTTTTTATGAGAGAATTCGTACTCAACATGTCACTATGATTCTAAATGAGTGTAGACTACGTGGCGCATCCCGAAAATGTATTGGCTAACGCCGCATGCTTCATGCTTTCCTTTTATTCTATTACCATAACAATGATGGACAAGATAAGCACTCACCAATCGCAACCCAAACGATGACACGTAGCCCGTTGGTGCTGAGTAGCCAAATGTGTCTGGAAACGGGAATTCCTCTTTGTCGTGGATAGTCAGGCGAACTCCTGTGGCCTCGGTGGTTGGCATGTAGTCCGACGCATTCACATACACTAACATACGCAATCCATACATGGGACCTCAAAAAAGACCTATGATGTGATCATTGACGCGAAGCACCACTGATTTTCAGCCTGACGGAGTTCGATTCTGTCTCTCGTACTTGAGAATATTGTTTGTATAACCTTTACGTAAACTTATACGTATGAAGTAATTCCTGTAAGTCATTGGATCTCTCAGACAATCATTCATTGTAGTGATCCCTATTAGAGGAGTAGTGCACGGCACAAACTCAAGAAGTTTATCGATCTCAATCAGCTTGCCATGACTTCTGGAGCTCAACTCTATGCCAATTTGTCATTCAAACGATAGGGCCAGGCTAATAGTGCGAAGACAACAATAATACACATATATATTTGTACATCAGAATAAGCTACAATTTTCGGTGCTCTGCGTCTTAGGAATAGTGGGGGCGTTCATGACAGTTTTCAAAACTTTTCAGCCTATTTTCAAAACTTTTCAGCCTATATAACGAAAGATGTGATACGCTTTGAACAGCTTCATGGCAGAAAGCGAATCATCCCATGGCAGTAGCCCTATCATAAGCTAAGAGGGACTAAATCGTACCTGCTCTGATACTCGTCAGATTGACAGTGCGATTGTGGTTGTAAGTATAGCAAGACCCGAACACTGGATCGATATGGGTGAGGAAATCTCTGAAAGTGAAACACAGTGAAATTCCGGAGGGATGTAGAATACGTGGCGCATACCAAAGATCAACCCCGATAGATTTACCCTTCGAATGTCCTCCCTCTAATCATGGTAATATCTAAGAATGAGCAATACTTACGCATCAATATCGCAGGCTTTACCATTGAATGAGCATTTCTGTACGAGTTCTCTCTTTGTCGTCGATAGCTTCTCACGATCTTCCATGGATAAAGTGGCCATAGCAAACATGATATTCTCTTTGGCTTTCGTCACAATTGCCACTTCATCGGTCATTCCCTACAAATAAATTCGTCCAGTTAACAGAAAGATTGAAAGTCTTTGAGAAAACAAAGCGCCGGAGACGGGTTGCCCCTCCCTTGCAAAAGTGGTGTAGAAGCCCTATCCCTGGACAATACAAGCAAGACCTCAAGAGGAGAGTGAGTACCGATCAGGGAAGGGTTGTCGCACGCTTTCCTAGCTGGTTGTAAGAGAGGGGACAAGTCGTAGCGCTGCCACGTTGAGCGCACTGGTCCTTGCAGCGAAGGCTGCTCATCATCGCCAGCCTATGACGCCCGTTTCGTCCCTCTCACCATGATTCGGAACTAACGTTACATTCCTCTCAACCGGTACTTTCTTCACATAGAGAAACCAGGACAAGTAATCGGGGAGAACTACCAGAAAAATAATGAGGTCCAACATTACCTGAAAACCCATAGCTTCTAAAAAATTCGGATCTTCCGTTGGCACTCCACCCTTCAAGTACGTCCAGATTTCTATAGGTGGCGTTTTGCCATTGTAAGCGACGCAGACCGAGGACGGATGCCATAAGCACGGTGATTTGTGCTTTTGCCTGAAATTAGAACCCTATTCAAATTTTTTCTATGGCAGGGCCCTCTCTCTCTTCAATACAACCCTAATAAAAAATCAGTGACGGGAGTTCCCGCACATAGTTTTTAGAAACAGAAGTCCTAACAGCATCGTGAAAGGCTACTTGAAGGGCTTTTCTAGCTGCTTGGGTTGGACAGTCCTCGAGATATGGACTTCTGCAAGCTGTTAGATGGAACATCCCCACCAGCGATCCGCATACGGTACCGGACCTGCTTCCGGTTCAACGTTCAAAATACATCAATCTGCCGGAAGCAGCACTCTATGCAAATGAATATAAATGTTCTTCAATCGTCCGTACACAGTGACTGCCAGAAAGCTGATTTAGCTCGAAAACAAGATTGCTAACAGATTTTTACACGGCTGATGTTTCGGCGTCGTCGCCTTCTTCAGAGCCTGGGAATACGAAAGACATTCGTCCACAAACATTATGAACACCAGTGTATGTCATGACGATGTAGTGTACTTCAGGTGTGTAGCCGTGATCTTATTTGGACAAGCGTGAACATGGCATGCGTGAAAAATTGTCAGCGAGAATATTGACGCTCAAATATATAGCATTCAATATAAATATCCGAGATAACGTCGCAAATCAAAGGCATACTCCGCGGTAACCGAATGGGCGGAGACTCTCATGCACGATGGCGATTTAAGCGGCATTGATTCTGAAACACTAGAGAGAAGAGGTGCGCATACGACGAAAGTGCAATGGTCGTGAGTAGCCGCCCAGCCTTGTTATCGCGGAATGTGCCATCAAAGAGTATGAGCAACTGAAAGAGAATTTCACTTACATGTTTTATTGTCCTTCGTGCAAAAAGCATGCTCATTGCAGGTATCACATTCCGTCGACTCCCAGGCGTCCTTCAGAAAGCATGGCCAAGCGTCGTGAGTATTACGGTCGAACGCGCAGATACAATGGTCGTCATAGCCCGTCGGTTCATCCAATTTCGTCCTGAAACGGGTCCAGTCGATCGATAATTAAAAACAATAATCTACGGTTGCTATGAACCACTAGTTCAAATGCCCTATTTCCAATTCTTCGTTCCCGTAGACACCCCATTAAGGACGAACTCATTTACCACAGTAACCATTGCCTCCCATCACCCACTATATAGTTTGCCGTTTGTTTGTTTGTTTGTCCGGAAATTCGGTTCGACCTGAAGAACAACTTGGAGAGGTCGGGTCAAGGTGGGGATGGGTAGGGCATGGGACAAGATGTAAATAGCACCGTGACCCATGGTAAGCCCCGCCCACAGTGGGCGGGGCATGCGCCGAAAGTTGGCGGAGCCGCAGAAAAAAACTCATAACTCGCTTCCAGAGCAGCCCAGAGATGGGGAAAAGTGGAATAAGGTTAGCAAGGGGTTGTCAGACTAATTAGGGGAGACATACCCGAAATGGGCGGGCGTCCTTGAGATAGGCGGTGCTTCCCACGAAATTCATTAACTTGGTTCCCGAGAGAATGAAAGCGCAAAAAGTCGGTGTAGGAGGACAACACCCTTTGGCATGCCTGAGATGTGTTGAGACCCGCCCACAGTGGGCGGGGCTTGCTCTAATTCATGGGGTGCCCATTTCAAAATTTGTAGCTTGTAAACTATAAATAGCGTTACCTTTCAGATTTGCATTCTTCCATAATACTCACTCCAGTTGTGCTTTCTGGATAGTAATCGTCCTCTCCATATGCGATCTCTTGGTCATCTAAACCAAGTCTACGTGAAGATGTGCGAAACAAACGCGAGCGGTTGCGTCGCGTTACCAACGTCTACCGTGAAGTATGTGCGAAACAAACGCGACGGCGGTTGTGTCGTACGCGTTCTGTAAACTTCAGCCCTCGCGTCTAGGAATCTACATTATAACGACCGACCGCGATGGGTGGTATGAGCCCTTGCTATTGTGATCCCTCCACTAAATTTGGATCACTAGCATTTGTTCACTTTTTTTTGGAAATCATGTCATACCTAATAACTGAAGCTCTCGGTTTGTCTTTCCTGCTTCCGCCAAACCCTTTTTCTATACGAAAAGAGAAAAATAAGGTCATTTTCGCTCGACGTCTTCGCGCAGAGGGCAGTCGTGACATAGCCTGTGAGAGAATTATTATTATTTATTATTTTTGTGGATAGTGAAGCTTGCACAGGTGATGCGCTTAGACGGTCAAATGCAAGGAGTACATCCTCCCGGGTTTTAAGGAAAGAGTGCCGCTGTAGTGCAGCCACCGCCTGCACGGGTCCCAATTGTCATCCTACTCTGGTACACACCGTTGTTCGAAAAGAAACTGCGAGAAGGCGTCAATTAAATACAGTAATTGGAGCATGACCATTATTCAGCTGTAATATGTCTGAATACTTCTTCAAAAGGGTCTAGACTCTGTAGCTATAGAGAAAGAGTCTCGTAATAGGATCCAACTCCACAAGGAAAAAAGGGAAACAAAACATGTGCAAGTGGTGCGGTCGGAGGCTGGGAAAGTTAAGGGTGGGAGAGTGGCTAGACCGCGTCTCTATGTTCCGGCTCGTAATCACGACTTAGGCTTATAGCACAGACAGTCAGAGTTGCCGAGGGAAACGTCTTTCCCCATAAGTGTAAGCCTTGATTTAGAGAAGGGATCCAGAGACGTTGGCAAGTGTCTTTCCCTCCCAAACAGTTCAACGCCAAAAGTGGTCGCTTGTATGCGGTGGACTCTCAGTAATTCCCGAGACCCATCAAACGAGCGCTGTTGTTCGGCCTAGGTGCGGTGGGAGAGGGGCGGGCTGTCGCTTGGGTTTGTCTCGGCTGATGTCCCAGTTGAATTACACGTCTTAGACCTTATAAAACCTGCTAAATTATGGTCTAGAGTGTGAATGAAGCTCCATGCTAAGTGCATTTTGATCAGGGCCAGATCATTAGTGAGGCATTTGGTCGAGTCCGTACGCCTCCGCCTAGTTTTCCTCCCAATCGAGGTTGGGGTCTCGAGCGGTGGAGGAGTGGGGGGTCCGGGAGTCAGGTCAACGTAAGCCCAAATTTTTTTTCTAAGGGACCTAATATCACCGACATCACCGCGATTATACAGATGATTGTGCGCTTATTTACAGTGGGTTAGGATGCTCCAAATTCCCTGGAATCCGCATCTATGCAAGTTCCTGCCCTTTAGAGCCATCGTACAGTGCACATGATTAGTGCCGAGTTAGGAATGCCCTCAAGAAAACCAAATACTGCGCCCAACTGAATGTGTATTTGGGTATCTGTATAGCCTACAAAAAATTGGGAGTCAAGGCGCTCAAATTTACGGTACCGCGATTCAAAAGCACAGCCCCATGGAAGAGCGATCTGAACGCTTGGCCTCGGAACCCGTGGGCGTGTGTTCGCGTTAGGTCGTCCTGCTGTTTCGCCTGGCTTTTCCATTGGCACCATCGAGAGAGAAGACGAGCTGAATGAACATACGCAGAATGCGTGTTGCATTAAAGTACTGATGTGTGATTGATGGGGCGTTAATCTACCGTTTCTCTTGACCAAGCTCTCGCGACTGTGGCAAAGACTGTCTGCACCCGGCCGGACGTGTAGGGATTCAGGGGTTGTCATAATGAGTGATTATAGCTGGCGAACGGTGCCCGGGTCTGAAAACATCGGCAGTATTTTAATGGTTGGGTACGTGTGGTAATGTAGATTTTTTCTTCGGCGGAGTAGTTCTACGTTATGCAACGTGTTGCAATCTCCTCTAGAATTTGGCTATTAGGGACAAGGCGGGGAGGATGGGGGCGGGGAAACCTCGGTGTCTCCGTCACTTTTAGGCCTCACTCAAAGCTTTCGCCTTACTACGTCACTCACGACTACCGGTGATTAGTGAGGAGTGCTCCTCCTGACAGAAAGTGTCCTGCCCCTTCCCGATTCCTCGAAATATGTAACCAAATGTCTCAGCCCGAATGTCTCAGGATTGGATATATGTCAGGATCGATCCGTTCTCGTTTCTTTCGTACTACTTTTCTCACACATCTATGAGCATTCTTTAAATATAGGGCATTGTCATCGCATTCCAGAAACAACAGCCGACAAATACAGGTTCTGGCGAAATAAAAATTCAAAAAAAACACATCACCAAAAAAAAAAAAAAAAACAAAAAAAAAAAAATGGTGTCCTGGGCAAATTTGGAAAAGAAAAGGCAGTGAGCGTTTCTCTGTTGTTTGGCGCTGACTGTAATAACGCGCCATCTAGGCAAACTGGACCGGACTAGGCACGTATCTGTAGTGGAACTCTTAGAAGCGGCGGCTAGGATGAGCGGAGAGTGAGCGCGACTGGGCGGCACTGCGCCTCCTCCCTGTCCCCGCCTCTGACTCCTTGACTACTGGAAACTTTATAGACGTAAGTTCTCTGCCTCGTTACCTCCAATTAGAAGCCAAAGGAAGTGAAAACTATGGGGTAAAGGAATAGGACTCGCCAGAGCACAGATGATCCGTTCGCAAAGCAAAAGTATGTCCCGTTTACTGGAGACATTATCCTCACTTTCGAAATCTCGACGGCTACGCCCGACCGCTCGCATCACATGAACGTTTCACAACAGTTCACTTCTCTCAAAATGTCGAGTGCGGTTAGACTTTGAATTCTGGATTCAGTCAGGTCGCGGCGAAATATTGCTATGTGAATCTCAAAAACTACCAGTTAATGAAGTAAGAGTAAAGGAGCTATTGAGTCATTGGTCAGGAGGTCCATGTTACGGCAAGAGGCAGAAAGTAGGTCACCCGCGAGCGGCGGCGCGGTGACGCATCATCGCGACTGTCCTAAGTGAAGACACTGCGCTCGCTTTTGCCGCGCAGCCGCACTTTGAATTTCCCAACCAACCTCCCCCCCCCCCCTTAACACCTCATGACACTACCGCGGTCGCTTGGTTTACTCTGGCGGTTGGTATGCACTTGAGTAGCACGCGGCGGAAATAGGCTGGGCCAACTCTGACCCTGTGCGCTCTCTAAGGCTGCAGGAAAGAGGGAGATTAATGATCGGGTTGTGCGCAGATAAGCACGCTTTCCCTCTTTCATGGTGCCTATACAATTACTGAATACTTCACTACCGAGTACTTTACCTATAAATTCGATTGGGTGCTTGTCCTATCATCGGAATTCCATGAGCAGACGTCTTGTAGCAAAACTCCTTGAAATGCCAAGCCATTCGCTTATCATAAGGTAGCAGTTTGGGGTCAAATGTTCCTGTGATTATCTCGCACTGGAAATGTTGTGGTTTGCAGAGATCTGACGAGTTCAAGAAAACTGTGGACGAGTTTCACCTGTACACCAGATTCGGACGAGTTGAAACACTCTCCATAACCAAAGTCGCCATAATACTCTCGTTCCGTAACGAATTTTGTCGTATCTGCATGGAGATACGCCTGCGGATCGCCATAGACCTATGAGCATAAGTCTATTAGGCAAAATATAACCCACAACCTTAAAAATAGTCAAAACTTGGCCAAAAAGCGCAAAGTGGTGCACAAGGGAAAGGCGGCGCTATCGCTAGATTGAAGCCCATTAGATCAACCCTCACCCGCGAATTATCGTGTCATCGATGTTATACTGTCTTTCAAAAAAGGGGTTGTGGAGACTTACTTCCCAGCCCCGGCGAGCGCGGCAAAGTAGGCATTGTGACGCATGCTGCATTCGCGCCAAGACCCAATCCACACACCGTGGCAGTGCTGCGATGCGTCCATTCTCTCTGCGTTTGTGTCGAAGACAGCTCTTTTCTCCTCTCGCCTCTGTCGTTTAGTCAACTAGCTGAAGAATACTCTGCGTCCTTGTGAGGGCGCAAACGTTTACCCCAAAAAGCGTGCACGACAAGTAAGCACTGCTTATTTTCACCGTCGCAATAGGTTACGCCGCCCCCCCTACTAGGGTCAGGTCGAATGGGGATGATGGACAAGAACAAACGATGTGTTTATATCTGCTTTCCCAGCGCTCTTTAATAGTTATCTGGGAGGAAACAATGATATTCATGTAGTCCGCTGTTGTTGCGCATGCCAGGGTCTGTCAGTGGCGGGTATGGTGCGGAGGGCCAGCCCGCTCTGCACCAGTTGTTGAGGAGTAAGCGACAGTAGTAGTTGGTTGACGAAACGGGCTGGGGCAGCCGCTAAAGTCCAGTCCTCTGACGCCCACACCAGCCAGCTATTGCAGAACAAGAGTTTACAATTTTCGAGTTGTTCAGCTGAAAGAATTCATAAACTTTAGCTTGTTCAATTGTATATACAATGCTTGGCTTCACGAATTTAAAAAAATAGTAACATAAGCTGATTGGTAAGAAGGACCTCAGAAAATGTGCGGAGGTGAGGGATATGAAATTATCCGGCAAAATTTCGAGGAGTAAAGTTATGATGGTCGCGCAATACGAGTGGAACGATTTCGATCATATTTCGAGAGGCTGTAGTGCGGGTATTTTGTGAGGCGCTGGTCAAAGCCCGGATGTGACCGTTTCCAGAAATGAAAAATAAAAAATTGGGCTCCGTTGAGGCTAAATGGTACTCATTGCCAGAGTAGTCTGTACACCTGGTGAAAACGTTGTGATTTGGTAAGCGCAAGCAGCTTCACATGCGTTTAGCAGGTCTCACATAATTTACAGGTCTCACCAAAGCTAACCTGTAATTAACATAAACTAGCAAAAGGAAAAAGCGAAAGTGCGAAATGCCCTCCCCAGTCCGAACAGCGCCGTTTTGTTGAGGGACTGTACCTGTTTCATATACTCTGCCGTTTCCTGCAGTCTCTCCCAATTCTTCAGGTTTTGTATCCACGACATTTTTCTGAAAAAAAGAATCATGAAGGCGTCTAGACGCTTGGAACCCCTGGTTATTTGGATGAAAGTTGAGCAGTTAGGGGCTAGCTTGGTGTCTATCTACGAGAAGGAATTTCATGAAATTTTCGACTCGTTTCTAAGCTTCCAGACATAGTAAAGCACTTATTAAATTCAAAAGGAAATAAAAAATTCGACGATTCAGGAGTTTTCGGAAGGATTCGAGTAGGAGCCTCTTTCGAAATCATGGAGAAGCTCCTTCTGAAAACATGGACATCGTCCCGTCTGGGACCAGACGATAGACGGCAGATGTGCACTCTTCTCGCCGACGTAGACATCGAAAATGCATTGAAATGCCTTAATAGTCTCGAACGACCACTACGTCTGTTTTCTCATCAGCAGCTGAACATCGTGTTCCGCGGACATGTTTAAATAAACAATAAGGATGGACTCAAGGAGGAATCTTTTACATGTGAGTGACCAGGTTGGTCTGCTCTAGGCATTAAAGGCAAGTGGCACGCTTAATTCCTAGGACGAGGACAGGTTTGGTACCCCTGACAGGACGGAATTCCGCGACCTTGAGTTGGCGCTCCGTAGCGGCTTTCTCGGAACGTACCCTTACAAGACCCTATCAAGCTGTAGAATACCAACATGGACGCCCACCCGCCCGCCCGCACAAATGGACGATTGTGTCCCACTGTATAGCAGCCTGTTAGTATCTGAGACCAAGCACTAAATTGTCGTGCCATATGCCTTTAAGCTACCCCTCGGCATCGTTCAAACATTTCTAAGTGCGTTTCCAGGTACTAGGTATGCCGCGCTTCTCATTTCTAGGCCATCCAAACCAGCAAAAGAACAAATCACATCTTTCACATCAGTCTTCTCAAACATACCCCCTGTCCTCATCCTGGCGATTTGCCATTGATTTTTCGTCCAAGTTCTCAAGCCCATTCTTGATAGTAGGATGTTTCGGAGTTCTCAAGCCCATTCTTGATAGTAGGATGTTCATGACATTTTTGAACTTTTATTTCAGCAGCTTCATACTTCATTACCTTCTTTCGGCGCAGATCGGCGCCAGGATTGCTCTGCTAATTCCGGCTTCTCACTTCTGCTGAAATCTGTGAAGTCTTGTGAAGCTGGAGCAAGCGTGGAGCTACCATGGTAGCACCTGCAAATCCTTGTAAGCTCACGAAGCGGCTAGATGGGTCGAACGCCAATGGCAAATAGCAAAAGCGTAAATAGTCTTATCCCCCCCCCCCCATCGTCAAACGTCCTTTCTTTTATCCAAAAAGACAGATCGTCTCAGTCTCAAGCAATATCGATTAACAATATGCCCTCGCCTGCATCGGTGATTTCTTGCCAACGAGAGAATGTCCCACTTTCCGTGCCGTGCTGCTGAGAAAAGTGTTAGTCGTTCTGAGCAGGCTGCTTGATCGTGTTGATTCATTGTGCTGATGAGAGAGAGGCGCCGACGCTAACCTCACTTCGCGCAACGTGACGAAACTGATCATATCCTTCATATCAGTTGGTTTATTTTAGCAGCTGTTTGTCACTTATGCCCAGCAACTAAAAAAATATACAAGTTAGTCCGCAGTGTCCCACCCCTTAGTGCCCACGCCCATCTCCGCAGCGAAAAAGACAAAAGGCAATAGACCTACAAACTCAAGACGCCCGGCCAAGGCTCAAATCGTTGCAACTATTATACCAAACGTATAGGAAAATTACAGTGTTTCAATTTAGCCGATGACGTTGCCCCCAAACGAATCAATCAACGGCGAGCTATCTATGCAGTCAAGGATAGAAACTGCTCTTAAAGCACGTTCCGCGGATAAACTAGGCAGCGAAACCCATAAAAGCTGATGGGAGATCAGAGGCAACAGTAGAGGATATGCTGCTTTTAAAAGTTGAAAAACAGTAAGCAAAACGCAGGTCTCCCGGGTTTTAGGCCCATTGGCGCCCGATAGGCCCATGCCGGCCACCAGTGACCGTGTCGTTGTGACATTGCCATTGTGCTCTCTCGCTCGTCATTTTCTGGCCTCTCTCGTCTCTTATCAGTCCGGCCGCCTTTTGCCACCACAGTTTGGATCTTGACCACCTTCATACGGCTCGTCGCGTGTGATGCCATATTGAAATAAAGGGGGTCTTATTGCGGGCGCTTTTGCGTGGTTCCTTCTCTTCAATAAGTCAACAATCACAGGACAATTCTATTTTTGAACTGTATTACCTATGAAATGTGGTCGCGGGAATTGCCTTTAAAGACGCATGGTACGATCACACGTAGTTTGGGTGTGCGTGGCTAACAGCCACCCACCCCCCCAGCTCGCAAAGCGTAGCGGTTTCCCCGTCCTGGCCTACGCAGGAATGGAGATACAGGACCGTGAAACACGCTGATTCCTCCATGCTACGCCCAATGCCTTTTGTACCGCGCCTGTCTGCTCGCCAACGAAGATGAAGGCACGGTAAGATTGATTTCTTGTATTCCGATGTAATGTTCTGTGATTGTGTTTCACTGTATTTTGTCTTCTCAATTTCGAACTGTGTTAACAGCTTCCATTAACAAGCCCCGAAGTAAAATTCCAGAACATTCAAGTGAAAAGCTCAAGAAGCATACCAAATGTTTCAACACTTCTATATCCACATCAAACATGGCAAGAATTCTCATTTTGATGAGAAGTTGCCCGAAATGCAGCAAATATTTAAGCATTGTCAGCGCATTCCTTTGATTATTAAAAGACTGTCTCAGATTGGATGGAGAAATAGAACTGTAGAAGGCATTCATTATGTGCTATATTTTGCTTTCGCTCTCCAACGTGCCGCATAAAAGTCGTGATCCGAGGGCAGTTCACCCAGCTACGTTCAGAGCTACGTCGGTACCAATGCTTCGTCTTTTGGCTCCGTTGCTTCTCTTCACGGCTCTAGCCCCCTTTGGGAGTCAAGCAGGTGGGGATGCTTCTAGTATGCTCAATAGGACTCACTGGGGTGAAAGACTGTAATACTATTTTACGGCTTCGGTTAGAAGGTACGCCCCTCTGAAAATGTTAAGTTGAGCGGTTCAACATCAATGAAAGGGTACAGTCAGTTCTGCAGCTCAGGAAAAAAGTAGCGAAAACCCGTCCAAAATGCCCATATGGGACCCCTAGGACCCTTATAACTGAACGTTGGTCCACTATTGCATAAATTAACAAAGGTATTAAGACTTGTGCCAAAGGGGAAAATCCTTCAAAAAACGTGAACTGTTCCTAAAAAATTCATGCAAAGCCCGTCCGCCACATATGGTGGACATGGTCCCAAGTGGACATCTCGGTGTCCACCACCAGTGGCGGACATTGTCACGAATGATCACAAACTGTACACCTACCTCCGTGGATCCTGGCCCTTGCAACCGGAGTGAGTGGGTCCACAGCAGCTGTAGCATGCCTCTTCCTCCGGTCAAAGTGCACTTGGAAGGGACTGGAACATAGTGATACCCGAGTGCCATCCCCCGGACTGGACCCGCGCTGCCGCACGGCCACGCATGACAATGGTCGGTTGCGCTTCCTGTCTGTGCTCTCTCACGTCTTTGTTTTCTGCAGGTACGTTCTGTTTCGCCGAGCATTTTGAGATTGCATATGCACCTCGAGGATAGCGCGGACGAATTATGGGGACGGCACTCAGGTTTAGCTATCTTACGTCGCTTTCCCATGTACCTCTGAGCGGAGAAACGTGGGACATCTTTAAAGAGAAAAAAAAGTTTGTCTTCTAGCCTGAAAGAGGCAGCTGCTGGCCTATGCGCCTCAGTCGAGTGAGGTTGCGCCTTGCCACAGGCATCTTCATGTTGTCATGGAAAGCTTAGATCAAAGGTGGTTATTATAAGGCAGCCTTATACTGTTTTTTTCAGGACATGTCCATGGACCGAATGGAATACTTCGCGCAGGCCACGGTAGACAACGTTCACTCTCTATAATTGAGCAAATTGCCAGATATTTGCAATATGCTGAATCTGACGCGGGAATTTGGAATGAAATTCTCTCCAAACAAAATCCTCCCATCGATGTAAACGCTCTTTTCGATAATACTTTGGAGGCACTACATCGTGTCGACCAATATCCGCATCGACGCAACAAATTCGTTGAGGTGTATGCGGGAATTGAAAAAATTCTTAAAGTTTTGCTCGACTCACTAGAGCAAAGGAAACTGTCGACTTTTGATGGGATAAGAGAACTTTGCAAAATGGTTGAGGAATTGGCGTCAGCTCTCTCTATAATGTATGAAAACTGGAAGCAACAGAAGCCAGTCGAACTCAGTGACGATGATATAAAGAAAGTGGACGATTCCCTCAATCGAGCGAAGAGATACGCCATACCACTTGGCGGCGGCTGCGAATTGACATATGCTTCTCGTCGATTGATGATGGTAGCCCATTTTCTGAGCACGAAATAGAACAAGTTTCAGTGACTTGTCCGCTTGATTTTCTATGGCTCATTCTATCTCTAACTCTTCATTCGAAATTTCATCCGAACTTGCAATAAATGATTTACTGATTGATCAAAGCACAACTCTAAACATTCCATTTCATCTTTCGAGAGAAATGAAGAGCGCTCAGTGTTCATCAGTTCCCTTTAGGAAGCGCCGTGCACTCCACCCCTTACAGGATCGCACTACTGTCTGGTCTATACAGTGACTTGCGCAGCCAGCCGATGCCCTCAAGACAATCTTGGTATCAGTCAAGAGCAGTCGGCACGATGATTTGGTAATCAGCCTGAAGTGGTAAAATGGCGCTACATTGCGGGGAAATGGCCAAAGAACGGAGTGAATCGGTCAAAATTTTGCGAAAAAAGCCTCCGTTCTCGATGGCTCAAAATCAATTGGGCGAGTTTCCCGTGGGCATCTTGCCAATAACCGCTACCGAAGATACGGCTGCATATGTGTACTCATATATCCATGCAGCATCACGGCCGCTTCATACCAATCCCTTCGCTTCATAATTTGCTTAGCAAATGAATCAATACGAGCGTCAGGAACGGTCGTCCATTTGTGGGCGGGCGGGCGTGGTGGGCGTTCGGGTCGGTATGTTGTGGCTTGATAGGGCCCTTATAAGAGCTCCTTCTTGGAAAAGGCGCTATGCAGCGCCTCCTCAGGATCGCGGAATCCCGTCCTCCTAGGCGCGTTAATCCTACTCGTCAAGAGGGATCTATCGTGCCAACAGCCTTTGACCATCTCTGAGTGAGGAAGGCATTGCTGACCTGCACAAATTATGGGGAACCCAAAGTTTTTCCTGAAAATTTCTGAAAATTGCGGAAATGTTCTCACTCGCCACTTCGCCACCTCCACATGCATAACGTCACGCAATGTACAGGGAGGGGGGGGTTACCAAAAAAGTCACTTTTCTTCATTGACTTTCGAGGCGCTATAAGTTATAACAACTTTTTATTATGGGGGGGGACCCCCCCATATGAAAGAGCCACACCATATTAAAGAGCATATTGAAATACTATCATGACACTCCGCCACAGCCTTCTGGACGAGCGCCATCGAGAGATTCTGCCACGCGACCGTGATTCGGTGCCTGAGTTCAGCGAGGTCGTTGATTTCTCCGCCACTGTAGACCACCCTGTTGAGCTCCGCCCGAACCCGGTATTAAAGAGGATTCAAGGCAGGTGGTACACTTGGATATTCCGCTTTCTTCAGGTACTCAACGCCCTTCCATTCCAAGTAGGCGAGAGTTTTTCCAACGCCCTTCGATTCCATGTGCTGGCACCCAATCCTGTAGCAGTACGAACTTTTTAAGATGGTACAGAAGAGTAGGTTCTCTCCTCGAGTTGCTCGATGCGACGTCAGCGCTCACCTTCAGTCCGGGGTCCACGAAGAAAATATCGGTCTTTCCATTCGTCCGGTCCATACCATCAACCCGCGCCTTGGCGACTGTGGTGAAGATGATGTCCTAGACCGTAGCGACGTTGTCGGAGCTGCTCGATGTTGGAGGTCTTCCAGATCGAGAGTACTGGTCTC